ATCACCAAACCCACCCCAACGACGAGAGGGCGAAACACGAACGCTGCCAGCTGTCAAGGATCCGGCAGCTATCATGGCGGTGACCACGGAGTCGGAAACGAAGGATACAGGAGACCCAGAGTTCAGAAGCGCCACTCGCGCGAGTTGAGAAGTGGCTGTAGGTCCTCCATGCAGCAGGACCCGGGTGGTGTATGAGTCCGAGTCCAACAGGAGCGTGCCGCCGACCAGATCGGGCCCATGTTCGAGAAGAGGAGGCTGGTCTGCACAAGCGGAGGTCGATGCCACCAGATGAACGCCAGGAGCATGGTCCCCCGGAGCGTCCAAACGTAGACAAGCTGGGTCTTCGCCCGGGTCCTTCCGTAGCGAAGAACCTGTAGCAGTAGCAACCTCATGAATGCGTCGATGTCCATGGAGAGGAGGCTGCGAAATGGGGGGCGTGGGAGAATTGGAAGCGGGGAAAGCTTTGCCAGACAGGGAATGATCACGCAAAAGGCGCCGAACTTCCATCAAAGCTTTTCCCAACAACTTTTTACCGCTAGCCGCCCACTTGGATGAATCGCTAGCATCTGGAAAGCATGCAGACATGCCGATACCCCAAACACGATCGAAGGGGCTGGCTTCTGCAAGGAGGCGGGTACCCGTCTCCAGTAGATGATGTTTCATGTCATGGTTTTGAGCAAATTTGGCGTACGACCCCGTAAGCACGATCTCTTCACGACGACGCTCCCATTCAGCAGAGTCGAAAGGACGCACATTTCGACCCAAAAACTTGTGTGTCTTAGGATCTGTTGCAGCCATAATTTTGTCATACGACGTCATANCCAGAAAGCGAGGGCGGCCGTGATCCGGAGGGCGGCCTTAGGGCGGCGGCTCCGGCGGGGTCAATGTTAGCAGAGGCCATTCGGCTATTTGAGACCCGTTCGTTAGGAGAAGTCATTCCTGCACCAGACGGATGTTTGATCATTGACCAGGGCGCTCTTGACTACTCCCCCTTGACAAAGGAGCCGAACCTTCCACAGAATGGTGGGCACTACCATCCGATCCCGATGGCAGTGGTGCAGTCAGCACGGGGTGGGCAGCAGAGGAAGACGCATTCGTATGAGGTGCTGTCACACGGGGGCAGCGGACGGTCGAAGACAACGAAAGCTGC